GGCGTACTCGTTTGTTAGTGTTTTTTTTTTATAACGACTTTATAATATAAAGTAATAAAAAAAGGGGCTCTTAGGCTTTATATTTTATAAATCTTTTATATTATAGCGCCTTTTTTTTATTTATTAAAATACGCTTTTATTTTACCCTTTTTATACTAAATCCGTTATTTAGCTATATTATATATAACGTAGTTCCGTTCTATTTAGGGTTTTTTAAAGAATACGTTTATATCTAGGCTTTTAATAATATATATATATACTTTTTTTATATAGCTACTAATTTTAAAGTCGAAGGCGATAACTCTTTTAGTTATAGTTTAAGCGGATTTATTTATAAATTTATAAAGTCTATATTTTATTTTATTTATATATAGGAAGCGAAGACGGCGGGCTAGTTAAGAGTTTATTATAAAATATATATTATATTTATAATTTATTAACGTTAAAGTTTTATATATTTTATTAATCCTCGTAGTAAATAGTATTAAAAGCCCGTTTATAATCCGTTATTAATTAAATAACTTTTATCCTATCCGTTCTTTATTTATAAGCTCTAGTACCCGATTTTATATTAAGCTATTCTTTTTTTAAATAATATTTGTCGTTATTTAAGTTTATTTCCTTTATATAGTACTTTATAAGCGCTATTTAAACTACGCAGGCTTCCTACTTTTATTTATAATTTTTATAATATATTTAACTTTATTATAATTAAAATAGCGCTAAGTCTTTAGCTTTATTAATAGCTTCGTTTTTTATTTAAGCTTTATAGCTTTTATAGCTTTAATTATAATTATATCTCCGTCGCTATTAATATATTCTTTTATTATATAATATTTTTTTTATATTAAAATTTAAAGATTATACTAGTTAAAGTCGTAGCTTTTTATATTACTAACTATTACCTAAACGTTATAAAAGAAGCCGGTATATAACGATTTATTTTAAAATATAGCGATTATATATTTTTTTAATTATAGAGCTAAAATATAAATAAAGTATTAAATTATAACGTCCGCGGGCTATTTTTAATTTTTAGCGTTAACTAAGGTTTTTTTAAATCGGGGTAAAAATACTACGAACTTCTTATCTTTTTTTATAATTATTATTAATAGTTCGTTAAAGGTGTTCTTAGCTTAATAAAAGTCGCTATATATTTATAAAAAGTATATAAAGAGTTCGTTAGACCCTCGTTTTTTATTTTTCTTTTTTTTATAATAAAACTAATTTATTATTTTTTAAACCCGAGGGGTAAAGTATAAAAAAATAAAGTATTTCCGTTCTTTATTAATATAGTAAAATAGCGTATTAATAATAAATTTATTACGTATTTAGGCTTTTTAAATACTATATTTATTTTTATTATTTAAAAACTTTACCGGGTTTAATAAAGGTTTTTTATAAAAGGCTCTATTATTAAAAAGCACTTTTAAATTAACGAGGGTTTTATAAAAGTCGGGTTCTTTAATAAAAAGTATAGGGGGTCCGCTTATTTATTAAAGCTATTTTTATAATAGCTATAAGATTTTATTAAACTTTTTATATTTACGCTTTTATTTTACTATATCCGCCGCTTTTTTTATTTTACTTTATTTTTAGGCTTTTATTAGCTTTTATAGGCCCTAAATAATCTATTTTTAGGTTTATATTATAGCTTTTATTAACTAGGCGCTTAGTAATATATTAATAATTATATTTACTTTTATTACGTAATATAATTAATAATAAAGTAAATAAAAAAAGGAGCTTAAATATATTAAGAGTCTAGTTTATATAAATCTATATTAAAAAGATTTTAATATATAAAATCTAAGCTAAAGAATAGAGGTTTTTAGAGCGGAGGTTTTATAAAGGTTCTATAGAAAAAAAGCGTTTAAATAGGACCTTTATAGAAACGGCGCGGTGAGCCGTAGTAGTATCCGGGCTAAGGCTCGGATCTATTAATCGGGTCTAGCCCGTAATACTAGGATTCCGAGAGCGGCTATTAAATATTCGCTTTTGGAAAGAGGAGGCATTTAGATTGTAAAATAATCTAATAATCTTCGTGCGTTACAATAGTTTGTGATTGTTCTAGATTTGCCTGATCTCGTTGAGTTCGGGGTCAGCTCTTGTAGCCTCGATAGGAGCCTCAAAAGGAGTATTCAGCGATAGTAGAAAGATGGCGCATTCACGTTTTCAAGTGCAACAGGCACACTTGCAGCCTAGTTAGACTTCTTACCCCTAATATAGAAATGCAAAGGCTTTCAAGGCTGACTGTCAAACCCTGGCAGACTCAGGTAAAGCTCTTGTCAATGGGTTCATTGCCTCAAATCGGGCGAATCGCTCTGCCCCAGAAGGCTGAATCGACTCTTGGAGTGGCAAAACGTGGCCAGACAAACATGTCAACTGAAACTCGGTTTGCTCTGAATTCTCATTCGTTAAGACACACTATGCTGGCAGGATCAATCCTGCCGCCAACCATTGGTGCGTGCCAATGATCACAGCCCCTAACTCACTTGCACCGCCGCAGCCACAAGTTCTGCCTGTTTGGCTTGGTTGACTACTATGTTTGCCCGGGAATAGTGAGCTGCAAAATTCGGAAATTTTTGGAATGCCGAGAAGCTTGGCCTGGGGTAAAGTCGCCTCGGGGGATCTGAAAAAGTTGAGCGCCTGTTGCAATCAATTGCGTCACAGTATAAGTGAGGGATCATGCAAGACGACTAGCTTAGCAGTAGTAGATTCCATCGGCAGTGCAATAAGGAAAATTACCATGGTAGTTTTCCTAGCTACTCTATCTATGGTCTCAAACTTTTGTAAAGTTCAGTCCCTGCAAGTGAGAAAACTACAATGCCTCAAGCTTCTCCCCCTCCTTGAGCCCGTGAACCAGAACACGAGGTCCCTTGGGAATGATAAGCGGCCCAGTAATTCCCAAGACCCTCGTCCTCGCACCACCATACCCCTCCTTGAACCTCGATACCCACGTGTCCGTCGTATTGAAGAACGCGCCGTGTGTCCTCTCGCTCTGGTCCCAGTACAACCTCCTGAACCAAAGGTGCAGATTTGGGTAATCGTTCCGGATCGTGCCCAGATTACACATGAAGATCGGAACATAGGCAACGTCGAACCGAGCAATCGTCGGGAATAAACGGACATCAGCCTCAGTGATGTGATCGCCGGTTAGGAAAGGCCTGTCCTTGAGAATATCCTCTAAACGATCTAGCGATTTGAACAAGGCGTCGACGTTCTCCTCGTAAGCGGACTGCGTGAACGCAAACCCGCTTTTGTAAACGCCATTGTTGACTGTGTGATACACCCACTCATTAATCCCATCAATCTCCTTACGCTTCGCCGCAGGGTACAGGCCCCCGCCGGGTCGACTCGCCTCGCGATCCGCCTCAGGAAGGAGGTGATCGAACTCAGTGTAGAGCATGCGGATGATCTCGCTCGACTCGTTGCTGACGAGCGTATGCGCCTTCTTATCCCAGAGGACAGGCACCGTGACGCGGCCGTCGTAGCCGGGACTCGCTTTGAGGTAGAGCTCCTTGATTGTCATGAAGCCGTAGACGGGGTCGCGTGGGAGGACGCCGAATTTGGCTGCCTCGGGGCTGTCTGTAAAGTGCCAGCCTTCTTTTCCCATGCCCATGTCGGCAATGTAGAGGTCTACAACGTCTTCGAGGCGTTTGAGGGCGCGGACGATCATCACACGGTGGCACTGCGTTTTGTTAGCGGGGCATTTGCTTAGATGTGCTTGAGGACTTACCCAGGGGCAACCAGGGCTGACGTAGAGAGCATAGCGACCTTTCTCAGCTGGGAACTTTGAGTTGGCGTCTTTCGTGATGAAGTTGCGAAATTGAGCCTCGGTGCGCTCGAAACCTCCGCCTTTTCCGGGCTGGTACCGGATTGGGTCTTTCTGGAATGAAGTGATAAGCATGCATACATGTATTTTTTTTGGAATCTGTGAATGGGCGCAACTATACCTCTTCACTCATATTGACTGTCTGTTGAATAAGTTGCTAGCTAATATTGTGGTGTAAAGCAGGTCGAATCTTCGTTAGTCGATAAATGAGCGATGCCAGATCTCAAATATCTTGACGGATTGATACAACTTGAGCCGGTGGGATTACAACTACAGTGATTTATTATGTGGTGTGATGAGGGGTCTGTTATTAGTGCATGGGTTGCTTTGTGAGGAATCACATCAAAGCAGCAAACGTGCTTGCAATAGGTGAACATGACGTAAAAATAGGCTTCTCAGCTTCCCCGCTCCGGGGAGCTGCATCGTCCCGCGCGGTTCGGAACTCCGAGCGCTCGTGACGCGCGCGACCAGCGGGTGTAGGATGGGATGGAGGCCCATTTGTCAGCTTTGGGTTCACGAGTTCAAGTTTGTAAGCTCCTTGTATTGTAGGAATAGCATCTTCTCCATGGCGTCTCTAAGTAGTAGATCCCAAGGTCCCGCCTTTTTGATCCGGGATGACTGTACCTTGACTTCGTCGGATCGGCTGAGGTGTTTAGCACTTTGAAGCGTTCGAAATAAAGTAAGATAGCCTCAAGCTGCCACAGTCAACTAGAAGAGATGTGTTGAGCTGCATGTTACATGTAGAAGTCTGCGCCTGATGTACATTGGAATTAGTCCTTTGCTATCGACTAACCTCACCGCTGTTGTGAGCCAGACTTGGACACCCGCATTCCCATGAGGTAACCATTGTATACGAATTTATTCAAGCAACCTCTAGATGACTTGAATGTGTACGTCTTCAGTATTTCTATAATTCTACTCGTTTTCAGGTTTATGCATAACGAAACTGAAGGGGAAAGCATGCACAAGGCCCATCCCTTACAGCAACTTCTCCTCCTCATTAAGCCCTGCTTTCCAAGCCTTGTAATCAAACCCAAGCTCCTCCAACGTCGTAATCTCATGCCTCCGCTCTCCCAACTTCCTCGAAGCAATCTTGATCAAAGGGAACCGCTCCCTCGTCCACCGCTTCTCATCATCCCAGTACGGCGGGATCTTTCCCACACCATCATTCTCCAGACCCTCTCTCTTCTCCGCCTCCAAGCTCCGCGCGTGGAGCATATTGATGTAATCCAGATCCTTGGGAAACGCCAAGTTATGCAGCATCTTACTCTCCCCCTTATCCTTCAGCATCCGTGCCTCCCATTGCCTCATCACGCCGCGACTCGGCAGACGCAGACGATCCGCCCACGCGCGCGCAACGTACGCCGCCTGGCCCTCTGACACGGGGAACGGCACGATGCGCTGCGGGATGCCCGCGAACGCGAGCGTCGGGTCGTCAATGTAGAGGAGGTGCTCGTATAGATTCCGCGCGTAGGCGCCGTCCGTGACGACGGGAGGGGAAAGGTCGCGGAGGAAGGGGAAGCTGTAAAAGTAGCCCGTGCAGAAGACAATGCCGTCAATCTCGGATTCGGTCTCGCCGTTGGCGAAGCGGACTTGCCTGTTTTCGGGGATGAATTCGAGGATCTCGGGAACGGGTTGGGCCCAGGACGAGCGGTCTTCTGCGGGGGTATTGGGGATGGTCTTTTCGGAGACGATGATGGGGAGGGCGCAGACCGTTGAGATTTGTGCGCTTAGGTCTATGCCTGAAGCTGAGTTGCCGATGATTATGACTTTCTGTGATGGGTGTGAGTGACCTTGGTTAGGCTTAGAGATTGCGGGTATGGCTCATCTCACTTTTCCCTTGTATTGTTCGGCATTTCTGTAAAATTTGGAGTGTGAGATGGAGCCCGGGTGTGCTTTGTCGAACTCGGCAAGGCCAGGGATGTCAGGGACGAAAGGATCATTGTAGTGTCCGCTCGCAACGAAGACAGCGTCGAATTGCGCCGTGTTCGTCTCATTTGTCTTGAGGTCAAGGCTTTCAATCTCCCAATAAACCTCGCTGCCACCGGTGGACTTTCTAATGGAGAGAATTTGCGTCGACAAAGAGATGATGGGCTTGAGCTCCTCGGCATAATCTTCAAGATATTTCTTCACTGTTTGATGGGGAGGGAAAAGCGAGGCATTCGATGGAAACTTTTTGTCCGAGTAGTTCATGAGTGTGTGGGGGATGTTGGTCTCCAAGTAATCATACACTGGAGAGACGAATTGCTTGGCATCGTGTCCCTCGACGGCGATGGCCGTGTCCGGGTTCTTGGTTGGCTGTGTCCTGGGGATGCTGAAGTCGCCGTCAATGACGTTCAACGGGCTGTATGTCCAGACGCCGCCGACGGTATCTCTCTGCTCGAACACCTGCACTTTGGAGAACTTCTTCTCCGCTAACAAGTACCTATTGGAGTGCAAATAAAGTAAGTAGGTGTGAGGCGTTGAACTCGTCGGCTGGGGCCGGATCCGCGGGCTTACTTTGCGGCGGCCAAACCGCACGGCCCGGCACCGATGACGGCGACCCGGTCAATGTTAAGTTTGTCCTCCATGTACATGGGCGACATGATGGCGGCGGGTTCTGGCCGGGTCTGGACGCGAGGAGGGGCTGTAGAGAAGCGAGAGAGTGACAGTACGGAGGGGTATCTGTGTAGCACCACTGATGAGACCCTCGGACGATGACGATGAAAAGAAGACTCGGCTTTATGAGAAGAGTGACGAGCAACTCTGAGCGATTTGTGCTTAATGCTCCGCATGAGCATCAGGCGATTTACAGTCTTGGATCTGTAGATTTCTAACAACAGTACTAATCCGTACAGGACTACAGACGAACCTTAGTTCGGCGATATGCTTCTGCTGGTCGGACGAACGGCCCACTGAGTCGCAGCAAAAGGAATGACTGCCAATACGAGCGAGTCGGACTTGGCCCGACCACGCCAGCGCCATTTGTGCGCCTGGGCACCGTGCTGGGCGGGTGGTGGAGATCATAAGCGCTTCGAAGAGCCTGGCAGTTCTCGAACAATTGTTTCTCATGCAAGTCATACCTATGTATGTATACATAACTGTTTAACTACTGTTTCTCCAGTTTCTCGGCTCTGTCCAACCGTCCTCACTTCCAAGTAGTTGATGCTTCAGTTGAAGTTCTCAGTTGCCGACTATCAGAATGTTGCAACACAACCCCGATTGCCGGCCGGCCCCTTATCTCTCACTCGTTCTTCCTCGGTTCCTCCCCCTCAACACGAAAAAAAAATTATTAGGAAATATTAACTCCGAATGACGCATCCCCGACAGCGGGTCCAAACTGGGCCGACTAAACCAGAAGAATCGCTCGAAGGAGACTCCTCATTCGTCGCCCCTGAGCAGACAGCGGTAATGGCGTGCTAAACGCCCGCTTGAGTCGTGCTCTTTCACCATCGGCAACTGTCTGGTACTGTGGTACTTTTGTGCCGTACTTCTGGTGTTTCTATCCGTCTTGCCGGCCGGTTCATGGTCTCCCACTACCAGACTCAGTGACTGGATGGCTTAGGATCTGCGCGGAGAGCGACCTGGGCAGAAGAAGAGATAGTGTGTACACGTACCTAGGTACAGGTAGTGTGTAGTAAGGCAGGACAGCCTCGTTGCGACGCTGGGGAGGGGAGAGAAGAGAATTTTTACTCTTCTTGTCTTTGCAAAGAAAAACAATTGTCGCTCGACAAACGATGACCATCACACTACGCGACCCGTAGCCATGGAACCGCACAGCCGCTGAAGAACTCTCTCTGCCTCTGCCCTGCAGATGACGATCCATTGAGCAAGTGAAGCAAGGTAACAACAAGCGGAGAGGTTCCCGACTCAGTTCCAGTCTCGCTTCTGTTCGAAGAAGGATCCCCCATCCCACACTCCCACTCTCAGCCGACCAACCGGTCGTGTATGCGACGTGTCCAGCGAAGAAACGCCCCCCAAAAGTCCAGTCCCCGACAGCCCCGACACGAAACGGGCGTTCACGTCGGCGTCTCGCCGTCGCCCAGTCCCCCCTATCCCATTCGGCATTCTTGCACCGTCGCAATGTCGCCCGAGCACATCAGATCAAACATTCATCGCTTTCGCGTCCGACAGACATCCCCATCCTCGCCAGCCCTGCGCCGCTCGGCTTCTCCTCCCGCGGTACGCCCTCCACTGCCGCCCCAGACACCGTCCTCAGCAGTCCACCCGGGACATCCGGATGCCGTCCCCGATGTCTCATCGTCAGCAGTAGCAGCAGCAACCATCGCGGCGTCAGTCTCGGGCTCGGCCCAAGCGCCACCGTCAGGTCCAATCTCACCGGCGCTGACAGGTCAAAGTCCGACCACAGTTACTGCCGCCGCCAACATCTCCACCGCCTCCGTACCAGCATCAGCAGTAGCAGCAGCAGTAGGGACGGCGCCATCATCCATCTCGGCATCGTCGCCAAAGGTCGCCCGCGATATCCCCGCCTGCGACCGCTGCCGCAGCTTCAAGAAGAAGTGCAGTCGCACCTTTCCCATCTGCACTCTCTGCGCCAACGCGGGACACAAGTGCTCCTTCTCTACGCCTGCCGCCTCCACCGCAGCCCAGACGCATCATCTGCGCGCCAGGATAGAATGGCTCTCGCGCTTCATCAACGAGAACCTCCCCGTCGCCGGCGCTCCTGGCGTAGAGACTCTTGACACGGGCACGGATATCGCCTCTGTCTTGGGATCCTCGCCGGCTGCTACTACGACCACGGCCGTGGGCCAGGCGATGGAAACTCTTCCGGCCACGCCAGCGGCGAACGGAGCCACGCCCGGGTCTATTATCAGTGCAGAGAGTAACCGCGCGGAACCGCGGGATACGTTTGCTGTGCATCAGCAGCCGCTTGGGACATCAGGGTCGATCCTCTTTGATCAGAGGAGCCTCGCGGTGAACGTAGATGCGGAATCATCGTCGTCAAGGGGCCACGATCATATGCGAGCTCTGCTCCAGCCGGCGCCGGAGCCCGGAAGGATCCTTGGCATCGAGAGTCTTCGCGACGGAGAGGGCTTCACGTCATCAAGCTTGCCACGCGATGCCATTGCTCGCAGGTTCGTCGACGCCTACTTCCGAAATGTCAACCGGGCGTACCCATTCGTCAATAGGACAAAGGTCTTGCGAGACCTCGAGTCACTAGGCGAATCATCTAAGCGGCGTAGAGATGCCGACTCTACGCTGCTCTATCTCATCATGGCGATTGGATGCACAACCCTGCAGCGCGCTGGCCAAATACCCAACGACACTGCCTCCAAGTTCGATGTAGCTTACGCCGACATCATCCAGGAGTGTCTCGTGAGAGAGGACCTCGAGTCAATTCAGATACTCGTCCTAGTGGCACTGTACTCACTATTCGACCCAAACGGCATCTCAACGTGGTCTATAGCAGGCATCGTCTCCCGCCAAGCCATGCTCCTTGGATTAAGTAGAAGATCTTCCGAGGACAAGAATCTTTCGGCCATGGACATTGAACTTCGTCATCGTCTATTCTGGAGCATCTACGTTCTGGACCGGATGATGGCCATCTCCCTAGGTCTCCCCGTAGCCCTTATCGACGAAAACGTCGACGTCCCGCTGCCAGGCCTCACAATCGAAGAGTTTGCCTCCCCAGACCGTCAACACTTCGCCTCCATCCTCCAGACAAACCGCCACGTCATCCAGCTCAGGCAGCTCGAAGACCGCATCCTCAAACAGATCCACACTCGCAAACAACCAGAAGTCGCCGCGCTCTCGCAAGCAGACAGACGCGCCATCGTGCAAAACATCCGGTCCGAGATTGAGAACTGGTACAGCAACGGATGCCTCGTCTCTCCACTGGAACCAGACAACGTCCCCATTCACAACTCCGTCACCTGGCTCAGTGCGCGGTACTACCACCTTCTCCTCCTCCTCCACTACCCCTGCCACTTCAACGCGTGCGGCACCATCGTCTCCGCCGTTGAGCTGCTGCGGTTTGCGCAGAAACACCTCCAGTCGACCTCGGTCCTCCTCCAGCAGCGCCAGCTACCCTTAAACCGTGTAACCCTGTGCCGCCTCTTCCCCGTCGGTCTGGTCCTGATTCATAGCTTCATCGCATGCGCCGCAGAATGCACATCCTTCTCCGCCCGTGACGAGGTAGCCGTCATCGTCAGCATCCTCGAGGCCTTCCCCGAGGGCTGGAACCAGGCGCGCCAGGCCGCTCAGGTCTTTCGACAATTCATGGGGCTTATCTCAGGGGTGCCCAATAACGGCTACACGACTCTACACTTTCCCGGGAACAACAATGTGTACAGCGGCGGCGGCGGCGGCCAGTTCTCGTCTAGGGAATCGTACCAGGCCATGGTACGGCCGCTTATCACGCGGCTTGTTGCGCTGATGCAAGAGGTTCTCGGCCGGTCGACCTGTTATGCCTTTCACGAGTTCCCGGATGATTGTGGCGGGCAGGCTTCGGCGCCGGCGGGGTTCAGGGGTCAGGCTGCGTTCTCGCCCACAGGGCCTACACGGCACTCGGCGGCGGTAGGGAATGATGAATCGGCCATGGACTATGGCTGGGGGTCATTGGAATTGGGATTTCTCTGATACGATCCTGTCTTGTAGCCGGCTGCTGGTTTTACTTTCATTAGTACCTAGATACCTTATTGTGTTAGAGCGACGAATCAAGTTCGATTTCATTGGCATCTTTGATCCTTAAGTCATGTTCGGCTATTCTGGCGTGGTGCTTTGGCTTCCAAATTGGATGTTGCCTAGGCATCTTTGGGTCACTCCTCATGATAAGAACGGCTTCTTGTTCCGCATTCCGAACCGTGGAGTATCCACCGCTAGGCAAGGGGACCTTGCTCGGGCAGTAGAACGGAGCAGCCCGTCAAGTCCCCCGAGCTTGTTAGCGCTGGGTGGTAGTAGGGAGAAACCCAAGAACGGTCTTAGCGAGGGGTCCAGAGAGTGAGTAAGTCCTCTATGGAGTATCAAAATGCCGTTACAGTCATTCTTGTCCCAACCTACGTCTTGACGGCGTAGAAAGCAGCCTGAAGCCCCTCAAAATCGCTTCCGAAATGTACGGATAGCCTTGACATTGTTAACCTATCTATACTAGCGGCTGTGACCTACTTAGCAACTAGATCGCATCCCCTTCTCGGCAATCATCCCCATAAAGTTGAGCTCCGCCTCCATGGCCTTGGTGCCCGCACCCATCGGGCTAGCCGTCGGGTACAAAGCCTCCAACTGCACCTCCTTGGTATGGACCTTGGGCTCCTCTTTGCTGCCGACCATCATGATCTCGAGCACATTGCCATTGCCATACTGCTCCTCCGTCAACAGCGAGAACATTGCGTTGGCGAGGTCCTCAGACGACAGGGCGAGGTCTTCAGCTGGCAAGCGATCGCGGCAGAATTCTTGGTCAAAGAGGGGCGTCTGCGCTTATGTCAGTCTTTGTAATTATGTGAACAGGCTTGTGGATTTCCAAGATTCACGTACCCTCGTAGGTCCGGGACAGATGACAGAGTTTCTGATCCCCACCAACTTCTTCAACCCCTGGAGCGACTTGACAACGCTGAGAACAGCCGCCTTGCTAGCAAAGTAAAATGGTGTTTGGATGGAATGGATATAGCCGCCCATGCTCGACACCCAGAGCAGATTTCCCTTGACCTCGCGGTTCTGAAGCCAGTAGTCGATGGCGATCTGTGCCAGCCGGATCGGGCCGATAGTGTTTACATTGAAGATGTGGTAAGAGCCCACCTCGGCGTCCGCATCGTCCTTTGATTCGGGGGAAACGCCGGGCGGGTTCCAGAAGGACGACCAGGGCGGCTCGAAGATACCAGCGTTGTTGACGACGATGTCGACCCGGCCAAACCTCTCGAGGGTTGCCGCCCAGAGGGATTTGAGCTGGGCCCAGTTTGTCGTGTCTGTCTTGTGGAAGGCGGCAGAGGGCTTGTCTGCGGATGAAGACGGATGGGGGAAGTTTGCGATGGTGGTCTCGGCTTCTGGGCGGAGGGCGAGGTCTGCGATCATGACCGAGCAGCCTTCGGTGAGAAGGCGCTGGGTGATGGCTAGACCGATGCCTAGAAGAATCATGGATATCGTGTCAGCCGGCGATTGAGATATCTTCGATCAATACCCAAGGGTATCGTCATCGCAGGTCAGATAGAGATGAGACTACTTACCAGATCCAGCTCCTGTAACCAGGGCTACCTTTCCCTTGACCTCGTATTCGATAGCCATGGTAAATGTTCAAAGTGCGAGCTTGATGGTATAGATTCTAGGTGCGGTTCTGACCCGCTTGCGCTGTTGGCAAATCAGACTTTCACAATCATATGCTCCTTGGCACAAAATTCGGTTTCCAAGATCAGGAAAAAGGAAGAAAAGGGGGTTCGATTACATGACTTGCTAGGTAACATCAAAATCGTTGCTGGATGGTCTTATAGGATGAGGATCTTCGCTCAGGGGCCCTTTTTCAGATATGCTCAGGAAGGTCAAGACGGACGGACTTTTCAGAAGGATGGGCGGTCAACGACCAGGACCCCGACTCTAGTTATCTTCAAGACGACAACTTGCTGTAACCCCGCGTTCCTGCATACATCCCCGGCTCAGCTGTCAACGGGGGTGATGCGGGCGGGTGCTGGGTCAGACCATCCGTGGGCCGCGTATCCATCCCGTTGGGCTTCGAATACCCAGGCACTTCGACTCGCATGACTTATACGTGGTATAGTGAATTGTTCAAGGTCAGAACCAATCGCAATCAAGGAAATTAGACAAAGCCCATATTCCATGAACTTTTACGGATAAACAATTAACAAGACAATGCACCTTCAACACCTTGATTAGAAAGCCAGGATGCGTTATATGCAAGAACGAAGAAATGTGCTATCTACGGGTGGAGTAGTCCCCCTCGCTCCCTGCTGTCGACTTGCCAAGATACTGTTGGTGCTGGGTTTCCATATGCAACCTTTCGCTTTGACGTCTCCCATCCCCATGCCATATGTCCAGGGCCCCTGTCAAATACCGCATCCTATCACACAACCAACATTCCACACTGGTACATCTGCCGGGGTGTTCCAATCCGTCTAATTCTCCAACAGACTTTTTTGATTGAACCCCAGCTTGACGTATTCGTACCTGACGCGGTTCGCAGCCGAATCAGGCAAACGCACATGGGAAGACGCTCCTTCGAGTCCATGCCAGGGATGTCAGGGACCCAGGTGCGTTAGAGAACTTTGGTCCTCCCATGAGGGACCACGGTCATCACCTCCGCTTCGGTGGCAAGGTTTGCTGTCTGTACATTTTCTCTGAAATCCTCTTCACTACTAGTAGTGTCTTCGCAGAATGTAGTTACCGAAGTCGATTCCTTTTCGAGACTCGTCCCAGAACTGTTTCTTCAATTCCGACTCAGCTACTACGAAATCGGCGGAGAGGAAGCGTCATGTCCAATGTGGCCGGAGACGATACGTGGCAGGCCGTCGAGCCTCAGGGGCTGGCATTGGGGCTTTTAGTCACTACCGTCACGTTGGCGATTCTAACGACTATCGTCATGGCTATGCGCATGTTCATTCGATTCAAGACGAACAAAATCGGTTCAGACGACTGGGCAATGTTGACAGGATTTGCAAGTAGACGATGCTCCGGTCGGTGGAAAAGGGGCTAACTGGGAGACTATCTGTTTAGTCTGTCAACTTAGGCCAATCCGCTGTTGCGATCTATGGGTCATTTACCGGTATAGCGAGCAAAGACGAGATCATGAATCGAGCTACGAGCATTGAGGGCTACAAGGTGTGTTGTGATGGTTAAGGGCAAGCCTATGACATGAAGTACGATCTAGAGCTGCTAACTCATTGTTGTCAACAAAATCTAGACTCTCTTGATCTGGCAAGCCTTCTACGCTGGGAGCTTGTGCTTTATCAAGTCCAGCATCTGCATCACCCTCATGCGCATCACCAACCAGAAAGTCTACCTCTGGATCCTACGAGGTTTGATAGGTCTCTCCTTCTTGATGAGCGGTTCCGGCCTGATCGTCATCTTGAACCAATGCCACCCCCTCGATAGGTACTGGGACAAGAGTATACCGGGAACTTGCTGGCCACCAATCGTAGCCACCGCGCTTTCGTACGGAGCATCGGTCGCCAACGTCATCACCGACTTCAGCGTTGCGGCAATTCCGTTCTTTCTGCTTCGACACGTGCAGATGCGATCCCGACTTAAGTTCTACGTGCGGCTCATCCTGGGACTAGGTCTCTTGTAAGTCTGAGATATCGGAATCTCTGCTAAACGCAGGGAACTGTATACTGAAGCCTTTGACTAATTGTATTTGGTGTTAGAGCTGGCATCGCGAGCATAATCCGAGTACCCTTCACGAATGCGTACATGAAAGCCAGCGACGTTCTGTGTAAGAAGACCCGCGCACCCCGATTATTCCGCTACAATTCGTACAAGGCAACACGCTGACATTCCTGCAACCGTGTAGACCACGCAGGTAACATTGTTCTCTGGACAATCGTCGAGTGCGGCTTAGGCATCATTGCTGGTTCGCTACCAATGCTACGAGCCTTCTTCAAACGGTTGGCCAAGGATACCAGCACGCAGGAACCCTACAACCGTTCGGGTGACACAAACCTCGTGACCTTTGGGCAGGGCAAGGGACGACAGGGCCCGATATACGAAACAGACCTAGGGGTGACGGTGATTGGGGGAGCAGGGGATAATGACAGCAACAACAGCAACCATGACGACGACGCGGAGAGCACACGGCGAATCATTAAGGTGACGAGAGAAGTACGGCATAGCGTTACTGAAGAGAACGGGACGATGCCGGCCAAAAGGTTGACGTAAGATTCAAGAAGAATAATGGTGTCTATAGATAAAGAGTTACATGTACCCAAGTAGCATTAACCTATTTACCTCGCAAGGTTGAGGATGTTCCGATAGAAGTGCATTATGGTCCTTCAAGTCATAAGGCATGCTGTCGTTGCCAACAGTATCCGTATGAAACTCATTGGAGAACCACAGCGCCATGCTGATATGCAGTCAAAACAGCTTGACAACAACATTGAGACTAGATATTCAAGTGCTTGCGAATCTCTCCTAGGACCTCTTCTGGCTTTTCGGCATGGACACCATGATTAGCACCCTCAACTAATAGAAGCTTAGCCTCAGGAATCCTTTCCGCAATCAATTTGGAGTTTTCTGCAACGTCTTGTGGTCAGCGTTGGCCAAGCTACTCGACAACTTGAGCAAAGTTCTTACCAGGAGGACATATCCAATCCTTGTCGCCCACGACTACCAAAGTCTTCGCTGTAATTTGAGAGAGTCGTTCACTGTAATCAAAGTACTTCTCTTTCTCGGAATAGAGGTCATCTGACTTATTCGTCAACTAGTCTGAATGTTTCATAGTTAAGTCTCAGTGTAGAGGTCTACGTACTGTGAGATTCGGCGACGTAAACGCCATCAAGGTTGCTCTTCAACGCTGCATCGGGATCGAAAGTTTCCCTGTAAAGCGGCATCATAGCGAAGTAAATTAATTGAAACTCGCGATCGCTCTCATATGCACCAAAGACTTTGTTCTTCAACATATCGACAGAGAAGCTGGGAACTTTGTGTATCCTCGCCTCCAAAGTTTTGATGGCGCCGGCCTCGTCTAGGGTGATGTCGTCAACACTCAACCCCTCTACAGCTCGTACAGGTTCCACAACTCACGATGATGAGATGGTGCAGTTCCTCTGAGAACCAGATGTGATACTTTTGGGGCGTACCTGATTGCATAGTGCTGGGCTAGGAAACCGCCGAAACTACCGCCGCAGATGATGACCTGATCATCTCCGATGAAATGCTGTCTTACCGCTTCGATGTCATCGACAATTTGCTCAAAGGTGTAAGGCTTAGTCAAAGAACTTTGGCCATGTCCACGGTAATCGAAGGAGAGAACCCGAATCTTATCGCTCAATTGGCTATAGACTTTGAAGTCAGATTTATGGTCACCTAGATAATGCCAACGCTCAGTCAGCAAGCTTGTCTTATCACGCTGAACTTCCAATCAGTATACCCATTCCGCGACCGCCATGCAGCGTGATCATGAGTGGTGCGTTTTCAGGCCCAGCTATGCGGTATGCCAGACGTGCGCCATTGATGTTTACAAAGTCAACCATTTTGTCTTCAGCCCCGAGTCAGTGGGTTGGAAGTCGCGCTGTGTTTCTCAGGAAGAGTTGTCAGAAAACCCCGACGTTCACGGACAAGGCAGCAGCTTTGCGTGTGGACTTGATAGCTACTATCGTGCTAGATCACCCTAGCGTTGAGGACTTCTTTTGAGGCGCCGTTCCGTTATCCAAAGGGCATATTGCATAAGAAGCCGAAGAAGCGGGGAGAGATCCAGCGAGACGAAGCGAGGGGATTAGCCCGGGCTTTGCTTGGCGTGTGAGTAAGGAGTTATTTAGCACCGGAACTAGCCCGACAGAAACTTCCAAAAGGGGTAAAGACGCAAGGCCCCTCCCCGATACCACATCGGAAGGAAAAAAGATTTTGTTCTCGATGGCGCTTTGTTCGCCGCCAATGGTGAGTTGGTGACGGGACAATCTTGGTCAAGTCGGCTTGAAGAAACGATTGCCGATGTCGTGCTTGACCCAGTAAAAATCGTTATCAAGTCTCTTTTTCGGACCATCGACCGCTTCTCTAGTGTTTCTAGGGAGGGATATGCTATGATAAAGAATCTTCTGCCCAGGTTCAATCTTCACTTTGCCCAGGGAAGCTCCATCTGCTTGGCCTAGATCACCGACCGTGGGCACTTTTGGAGTTGTCTTGTGATCGTGCGACGAGACCGGAGTCAGTGATAGCTGCAACTCGAACCAGGATGGCGCCGCACCTCGATACCAACGCGGCCAATGCCATTAAGGCAGTCGACCCAATCAACCGGAGCCAAGACAAGGACGGCATTTCGACGACCTCCGCCGTTGCCGAGATCGATACCAAGCCGGAGCCCCCACAGGAACCTGAAGCCGCCGGATGGTTCCACTGGCACGAACCCGGCACATCGCCGGAGGAGAAGAAGTTAATCTTCAAGTTGGATTGGTTTCTACTCTCATTCTCGTGTCTCATGTTTTTCATCAAACAGGTAAACACACCTATCTCGTTCCCAAGCGTCTCGCATTCAGCCGGTTTGCTTACTCTAGTGCCCCTCTTTAGCTTGACCAAAACAACATCTCCAATGCCTACGTTTCCGGCATGTCGGAAGAGCTCAGCTTCGGTCCTGGCAACGAACTCTCCTGGATGAACACGTACTTTAACATTGGAACTATCATCGGCGGCTCTTTTGCCAACCTGATCATCACTATCGTCCGACCGCGCTTCTGGCTGACCGGGTGCCTCTGCACTTGGTCTCTCTTCGTGCTTTTCCTGTTCAAGTGCCAGACCGCCACACAATTCTATGTCCTACGTTTCTTCATTGGGCTGTTCGAGTCTGCCGCCTGGCCTGGCGTCATGTACGTCCTCGGATCATGGTACCGCAAAAGCGAACTGTCCCGTCGCTCTGGCCTTTTCGTAATGAGCGGTGTCTTGGGGCAGATGTTTTCTGGCTATCTTCAGTCTGCCTTATATTCGGGTATGGGCGGAAAGGGTGGTCTGTCGGCGTGGCGATGGCTTTTTGTCTTTGACTTCATTCTCGCCATTCCCGTTGTGATCTATGGCGTCGTAAGTACTTCTCTTTGATATTGACTCCCATAAAACGTCGCGTCTTTCTAAAGTCATTATCAGATTTGCTTCCCCGACACCCCTCACACAACAAAGGCTTTCTACCTTAGCGACTGGGAAAAGCAACGTGCCCGCGAGCGCATTGAAGAAGAGGGCCGCAAACCTGTTGGCAAGATGAATTGGTCCGTCATTACCCGCGTCTTCGGCTCGTGGCAAGTTTACGCATTCACGGCAGCCTACTCCTTCTGGACTCTGACTTGCGGCTCCTACATCATTCAATACTTCACTCTGTACCTCAAGTCAACAAAGATGTACACTGTGCCAGAGATCAACAACATCCCCACCTGCGTCGGCGCCATCAACTTCGTGTTCATGGTCTCCACAGGATACGTCTCTGACAAGATTGGCCGACGTGGACCTGTCTGTTTCGCCGTCGGGTGTCTTCTTACGTTCGTCTACGCCGTCCTCGCGGCATGGAGCGTGCCGCATATGCTACGCATGGCCGTGTTCATTCTCGCAGGGTGCTATGGTTGCTACACGCCTTTGCTGGCTGGATGGGCGAATGAGGCATGCGGTGGCGATCAGCAGAAGCGCGCCTTTGTGCTTGGCTTCATGGTTTCCGTCGGCCAGGCTGTTGTGATTCCCTTCCAGCAGCTGCAGATGCCGAGTGGACAAGCCCCTGCATTTGCCAAGACCCATGGGTGGAAGAGCGCGCTTGCGTTTGTAGTGGCATTGACTGTCTGGACTGGTGTTGGTCTGCCGTTACTCCAGAGATGGAGAGAGTCTCGGGTGAAGTTCAGTACCCATGAAAGTGATAGTGATGAGGCTTGATGGCCCATTGAAATCTAGGGTCAAAGGATGGAGGACACCAGCTTAGGGCCGTTTTTCGGAGCGGTTATGTCAGTATTGTTAAAGTTAATGAGTGGTAGCATGTTTAAACGTAGACACAACTAGACGTCATCATGCGATGATGGGTCTCATATGAGTTATTAATGTCGTAGTTTGGAGTAAGAACCAGTGCTATTGACTAGGTAGATGTATTCAATACAAGAAGGTTAAAGCCATACTGTGAAGGAAGGAAAGTTCCAGACATCCAATCGTTTATCCATGCCACAAATCCAGGGCTCCCTTCAAGCATCTACAGGTAGATGCTCCTTCTATCAAGACGCATATGCCTCACTGGTGTTACACTTAAGCGAGAGCAGTCTTAAGGAAAGTGCCAGCGGTGTTGACATCGGAGCCATATCCAATGTGGCCAGAGGCGCTTTGGCTTGAGCAGCTTCCGGAGCTGGCGCAGCCACCAGCGGAGCAAACGCCGTCGCCAGCAGCGCAGAAGCTCCTGAACTTGGCGGTGGCAACACCAGTGATAGCTTGGCCCTTGAACGGGTCACCGAAGGTGACGGCAGCGGCGACAGCCTTACCCGAGAGCTTCTTAGCAGCGTTGTGGACGACCATACCGCCCTGGCTGTAGCCGGTGAGGACGATCTTGGTCTGGGGGCACTTGCTCAGCCACGAGTTAGCCTGGTTGGCCATGGCGACGCTGCCCGGGCCGGAGCCGGTGGCCTCGGACATAATGCCAGCCATGTCGGCCGCGTAGGTGGTGCCCTCGAAGACGGAGTCGGGGACGTTGGATGCAACTGCCTTTTGGAGACCGGGGCCGACAACGGTTCCGAGGGTACCCATCTCGGTAGTGCCACGGGCGAAGAGGACGGTGAAGGCCTTGCAGCCCGAGGTCTGGCGGATCTCAACAGGGCTGGCGGCCGCGAGGGCGGCGAAGAGAACGGTGGTGATGGCGGCGGTCTTCATTTTGATGGAGTTGGTTTGGTTGTTTGTGGTGGTTTTGAAGTGAATGTCTTGTCAAAAGAGCGAAGTCTGGTATAGCGATGGTTGAAAGAGTGTGCGCTGCACTTGTTTGGCAGATGTGACTGTGTAAAGCGAAAGTGAGAAGTCGTGAAGGGACTGGATGGTTCTTGATGTTCCTACTGATCCTTCAAGATCTCTCATTATGCCCAGTGATATCTCATGCTCTTATACCTCGAGGCCTGTCAGCCCAACTCCCGAAGCTCAAAGTCCTCACATATCAAATGGAGGATCAGGGATAGCTTCACAGGAACCACGATGTCATCCCAAGTTTGAGGCGATGGAGCCTAGTTCGTCCAAAAACGATGTTTCTTGCGATTCCCCCGTTTCATACTGATTGGTGGCTTCGTCCGTAGACACCAATGTCTCAACCTGTCGTTCGCAATCAAAAAAAATCGGGAAGCATCAGTGCGGATTGACACGGCACTCCCGTCGAGGATCAATGCGGCTTGACACTGGTCTCTCTGCGGCAAAACCACCGGGCGGAAGACCGTGCATAACGTTCTGTTCTTGTTGGAATGCAGGCATCCTGACATGCTTCGGAGCGCTTGGACTCAGCCATCACATCTGTCAGACCCAGTTGATTGGTTCTTAGTTGGTCTGCCTAGTCGCACCATTTCACGGGGCTAAGGAGATATTACCCATTTCTCAATATGCATGTCGTTTCTTCTCCAACACCCATGAGCTCACAAACGGGCGATGTGGGCACAGCTACCACACCGTTGTCTTGGCCATGAAGACAAAACAGGGAGGTTTCCCTTCTCCATACCCCACAGTCGAGTTGGTTGCTCCGAACTAACCGACTATTGATCAAAAGACTGGAGATTCTCGAAAGGGAACCATTGAGTGGGTTGTTCTGGACCGAGGCTCTGAAGCCTTAGTGCGCCGCTCGGTCGGTAAGGAGGATGCCGGGAATGATCCTCCCTGAAGGAAGATCACGGATCAAGTGGGCGCGTGGGCGCCAATCGCATCTCATTCTCCTCGACATCAGGCTCAAAAAGTTCCGAAACAAGGATATCCATCTTTGGTGTGCTAAATGAATTCTCAATTCTGATTTACATACTACATATTTCAATCATATGCATTTGATGCGGAGAGTTCATATGCAAGCATGAGCAAGTTTGTGGATGCAGCGCCCGGTATGACAACACATTGCAGTGTCAAAACAATACGAACCATATGAGTCGTGATATAATATTTGGGTGGACTAGAACGTTCATATTGACACCGGTCGGCATAAAGAAAACGTCGATCCAAGGCCCGGCAGATAAGCATACAACCCACCGCGACTTATTGGTCCTCTTAATTGCAGGGGTAAGTCAAGCTATTCAGGGTCATCTCCGTCGATGGACACCAGAAGAAACACGCTGGTGGCCTTGAACTATTTCAAGTCATTTCCGTGCTTGATCCTATGATGATGAGCCGTTGAAGGATTACGAGAGCGTGTTATGGATCAATGTGCCAGAAGTAGCTTGATCGTCCTCGCCACTGTCTCTGCAACCCCTCACACCGTATTTTCGCACCAAGTCATGCTGAAGTTAACTTTGCCCGATTCTCTCCATAGACCCCAAAGCTTCGAGGAAACTGCTCAGGCTCCCCAACACTGTGACAGCCTCATGTCATAGACATGTTCGCGATGCCTAGAGCAGGCTTAAACATCTCCAGCAGAATGGAAGCTACTAGTACCAACAAAAGAAGCGACTCTCGCCCTGTTTGACTCAGAATAATATCATTCACCCCAATTTTCAACTTACCCGGTCCAAGCAAGGCAAAACTTCCGAGTATGTCAAACATCGATACGACCTTTCCTTTCGTTAGAAAGCCATGCTTCGATTCGGTCGAAGCCATGGATGCCGCCTACTCCGTCATCTACCTCGGCTCTTCGCAGTAGAGACACACGTTTCCGTGGACCATCACAGTCACGAAGATCGATCCAGACATTCTTCATGGAGGGAAGAAGCCTGCAAGCCACCCGCAACATGTTGACGTGTGCCCAACCCACAGGCCCAATTTCAAAGTTCCTGACTCACTCGCAATTTGTAGAAGGGCCCAGATAAGGGGGCAGGAATCTGCCCAATACCATTGCAGTCCTCGAAGGAGCACGTTGCAGCACAATGTCTCGGTTACCTGCTCCCAACAATCACATAAGTCGCCCGTCGTTCTTCATCTAAGCACCGCCAAGCTCTACATGAAGCGTGGCGTGGGCAGCATTTTAACGACTATTTTGCTTTTTCTATGCCCCATAGTCAGATTCCCACATGCCGAGAGCCGGAGAGAATGAAAGGGGGGTTCGTTGTTGGTCTGCAGAGCCGTTTGGACCACCTGAAAAAAGCAAGAATAAGACAGCTTGTGGGACGAGGCCAGGTTCTGGATTCCTACACTATCCGAGCCCAATCCCAGAGCGTTCGCCCCCAACGTTCTCCCACCATCTTTTCGCAGACTTGGCAACCGAAATTTGTCCCTTTGTAAAGGCTCAGAGAGACACGCACCCGTTCGCGCTGTTCTCGACAAAGATGCCACCCAGTATTTGTCCCTCATTAAGATTGCTTTCCTGGAATCCATCGTTCACAACCGTCTTGGTCTCGGTGGGCTTCTTGAGCAAGCCGATCTGGAGCGCACCCCCGCCCGCGTTGTTGTTGGGGAGGACCTCGGTGACGGACTTGAGTGGATCGTTTCCCTCCGAGAAGAAGACTTGAATCGTGCTGATGAATCATTAGATATCGGAAACCTCCGTCGCCTGCTCCCTTACGACTCGATGGGGACATGCCTTACTTCTTGGGGATGTCGAGGGTGACGGCCCAATTTTGCCAGACATCAAACTTGAGTGCCGTCGAAAAGATGACGCTGTTGTTTCTGTCCAGCATCTTCCAGTCGGTTGACAACGGATTACCCGCCGTACTGTTCTGCCCGAGGGGCGTGCCAACCTGCAGGGCAAATTGCGCACCGCCGGAGTCGTTCGTCTCGTGGAAAGACGTCAGGTACTCGTGCGTCAAGTTCAGCTTTCTGGTCGAATCCTGCATGGAACTCCAATGTGTCGTCATGACCCCTTGATTCGAGGCATCAGAGCCGTTGCCAAGCAGCAGTCCGGCGCGACGAAAGCCTAGCTGCGGGCTGTTGCCGCTAGGATTGAAGATGGACTGGTCATTGATGGTGACTTCGAGAGGCTTGAAGTTCCCAGTCGCGTTGGAGGCGTCGAATCGCGAGGCTGTCGGAACCATGGGAAACAAGAGAATTTCGGACCACTTCGCGGGGCCCTTTGTGTATCCCGGGTTGAACGGGCTGGCGTAGGTGTCGAAGACTTGCAAGGTGAAATTTTGGGGGATTCGCCCATCCAGGACAACCGGGCACTTGACGGGCGAATCGAGAGATGCGCGGGGCGCATTCAGCGAAAGTGCTTGAAGAGAACGGACAGCCGCGTGTGGCAGAATCATTGTGAATGGTCTGAAAACAAAAGAGTGACTAAATTTTCTATTGAGAAAAAGCGAATGAAGACCGAACCTGCGAGAACCTATCCTACCGGGACTTTGATCATCTTTGGTGGTGTTGATGAGAAGTTATACGTACCATTACTCGGTTTTACCCCACTCATCTGATACTCAACTTAATTGTGGTAAATAAAGGGGAGAAAGCTTATTTCGCATCTTTTGAAGATCATGTTAAGGATGCCGCGCCCGCAGCCGTTGAACTTTGCTTGTTTCCAGCCCTTTGGTACGGGGCATAGGACTGTTCCTAAGCCCCCGGCGGACTACTCCGTATTGAAGCGCAGAAGGAAAGTCATTTTTCTCTTGGCAGAAGCTCCCGAGTCATGGGTTCAGGGATCATGGGCAGAAAGGGCAGAAAGTTCGGCATCGTGATGTTACCGTCACCGTTGACCCAGGCGGTACGGTCCGAGCTTTCAATCTACACGATGGAATCGCTTACTGGATTCAGTAGTCAAAGCGACCAGGTAGCAGAGCATTTCATCACTTTAGATCAGTCCTTTAATAGAGCACGTGCTGTGGCTCTTTTGATTTTTGCAAATGGCTCTAGATTCTAGCACTGAGGACAGGGCTGAAGATGCATGGATAAATCAACTTCCAAGGTAAATGCCCACTTTACAAGACGAAATCGTTGTCAAGTTCCACCCGGCACGATCGTTGTGCTGAAGCAATTCCCAACGACATGCTGCTTCCCACCTATGAAGACTGGATTGTCAGTTAGTGATCTGTTAATTTTTGGGTAAGTACCAGTGACATCCAACTTGAGCATACCCTGCTTAGTACACAGCGATTACATATGACTCTGCCAACGAGGTCCAGTTCGTAGGGAACATGAATTTCAAGTAGAAAGTTATACTCAAGGGTCGGGTAAAAACTTTCAACGATATAGGACATAACGTTAGAAATTCATTCATTGCTCGAGAGCCTCAACATGACATCATTCGAACCAATAACCTTTGACGCACATAATGTCGATTGTTAGAGCAACGTTCAATGCTACGTTGAAGCTATGTGTACTAAGATCCCGATACGTACAACTAACTCTCTCCGAATATGACCAATTGGGTGTTATGAAGCTGACTGAAGGGATTATCTCGCAGATCCTGCCAAGCTGTGAGAGTTCAGTTAAACAGAAGCGTCCATATCCTGTTGAGCAGTGGGGGCCGGGCCATCGACAATTAATATGATGATATAATTACTCTGGCATTACTTTCCTAGTTTAGAATCTGTGCACCTGAGTTTCTCGGGCTCGGCGCTAAGTCTCTTTGGGCGTCCGAAGCTATGACTAAATATGTAGCGAGATGGAACCACCGATCGTGAGTATATCGGCCCATGTGGGATATCTAAGTACGCAGGCCTGGATGATGCGGTAAAGACTTTTCCCTACGGACAAATAGAGAGTAACATCTCAGGAGCCCTCATTTACACCAACTATGAAGTCACTCAATAATTTGATGTCCCTTCCGTCCCCGGACTTTTCAGAATGTCCTGATTGTCCTTATTGCGCCGATTCTTCTTCAACGAATGTGGTCGTGACGAAAGCTTGGCGATGCAATTCTGAACCCTGGCCAGTAGGTCTGCAATGCCAAACATGTGCAGTTGCAATGAGAAAATTACCAGCCATTCATCATTGACCTATCAATCAGTAAAATGGGTACAGAGGACCTCTGACCTTCCCCGTTGGGCAAGTTATCCGATTCCAGAATTTGTTGGTCGTTGGTTTACCCATCAACCACATCTCCCTGTACCGCCTTCGGCGATCGGCCAACAGCCATCAGTTCTTCCCCGCATCGTTAAACGCCCGGCCATCTCATCTACATAAATGATTGCCCGCAGTTTTGAAGGAAGTATTTAGCTTTCTCATCACTTAGTTATCCGAACACAGATTTACAACCCCATCACCTCCGGAGCTTTTAGGTCATGCTCTTCACCGATCCAGTCGTAGTGTCCTGGGCACTTGTGACCACGTGCGTACTTGGTTTCTTGCGGGCAAGTTGGGCCACCTCATTCAATATCTTATCAGAGACGCTTTCTTACCTAGATTTAGCTGTATTCTTTGTGGCTGAGCAACCCTCTCAAGCATATCCCAGGACCATGGTACACCCGCATCACCCATTACAAGCTGAAATGGCAAACCACGATCGGTCGACGAATGTATTACGTTCACTCTCTTCATAAAAAGTATGGCGCTGTTGTACGAATCTCGCCATATCAGGTCGCAATCTCAGATCCCGACGGCTTCGTAGCGATCCACCGCATCGGTTCTGGCTTTCTGAAGTCACCATGGTATGAAGAGTTCGTCGGAGATTCAGGCATTGGTATTGGTGTCTTTGCCACTGTAGACCCAGTGAAGCACAGCGTCATGCGTAGGCTTTTCTCTCGCGCATTCTCTACCACCAGTCTTCGTCAGAACTGCGAGGATGTTGTGAGGGAGAAGGTTGCAAAGGCGATTCAGAGGATCAAGGGCGAGGTCACCCACGGATCCTGCGATATACTCCATTGGTTGATTCTTATGACTTCGGATGTGATTGGGCAATTAGCCTTTGGTGAATCCTTCGAGCTACTAGAATCTGGCAAGGTACGTCTACTGCCAGTGTAGCTGTTACATTGTTTGATCATCCGGGGTTACATGCTGTACCTGTTGAAATCCAGCTGACAACGAACATCAACGACAGAAAAACGAGTACATCGATACATTTCAATTGGTCGGGATTGGGAGTTTTCTGAAGTACGAGCTTCCGTGGCTGCATGCGCTGTCTCATTACATCCCACTCAAGTCGCTTCGACGAATGCTCAACGCAGGTAACTCGATCCATGAATATGGCGGTCGAGCTGTCGAAAACTTGAAGAGACATCGCGACAATAAGTCAAACCTCTTCGCAACCGCTTTAGCAGAGTGCGATGCAGGAGATAAAGCCGAACTCACGGAAAACTACATCCAAATCGAGGCGTCTAATCTGATCTTTGCCGGCGCAGATACGACGGCGGGTACTC